GGTACGAGCAGGGGGCGGGGGGGGGGGGCGGGGGGGGGCGCGCAGGGCAGCGCTGTCCCACATCTGCCCCTGGGGCGGGCAGGATTGAGCCTTACCTGGCAGGTAGTGCACCTTGAAGCAGAAGTCGAAGGCGTCCTGCAGGTCCTCCAAGTGCCGGAAGGCGCGTTCGGCCTCCTGGGGGCAGAGGGGGGGTGAGGGGCCGGGCAGCCCCCAGGGGCCTGGAGGTGGGGGCCAGGGGGGCCATTACCTGCAGGGCCACATGGAACTCGGCCAGGCGCCGCCGGATCTGCTGCTCCCGGTCACTCTCCGGGGGTGTGCCAGGGGCCGGGGCAGCCCCACCCTGCGGAGACATGGGGCGTCGGGCAGTGGCTGGCAGGACCCCGCGAGGTGGGGGGGGGGCCCCGGCCTACCTGCTCCCCCGCCTGCCCCAGGCGCAGGATCCGTCGCTCCTCCTGCAGCAGGTTAGCCACCAGGTTGGCGAACTTCTCCGGACACTCCTCGAACTCGGCCTGCGGAAGGGCCGGGGGGTCAACGGGACACAGAGACCCCCAGACCCCTTGCCCCAGCCCCACCACCCACCTGGAGGTCACGGCGGGCCTTGCGCAGGTTGTGCTTCAGCATGAAGTCCTCGTCGCCCAGCCCCGGGCTGCCCAGGCGCTCACCCAGCAGCGCCAGCAAGGAGTGGAAGAGCATCCGGGCATGGGACGAGAGTGGCTCGACTGCCTGGCGCCTACGGCATCGAGGGCTCAGCACCGGCCCGGCACACACCAGCCAGCACAGCCCCCAGCCCCAGCCCTCCTGTTACCAGTTCTGGTCCTCGATCCAGGCGGCCAGGCACTGCCGCACCGCCATGGGCAGCTCCGCCCTGGCGTACAGCTGGTGGACCTGCTCCAGGTAGGCGTTGGCCAAACTCTGCACCTCCTGCCACTGCGCCATGCTGGGGGGCAGGGGGCATCAGGGCGGTCCTGCCAACCCCCCGGCCACAGCACGACCGGTGGATGCAAAACCAGCGCCCGCACGACCCACGAGGCACCCCTGCGCCCCACGTACCTGCCTGCAGCACGATGGTCCCGTGAGTCCCTCTGGTCCGGCTTGGCTGTGGGTGCCTCTGCTCTGGCTCAGCTGCAGGTGGTCCCACGGGTCCCTCTGCTCTGGTTCAGCTGCGGGTGGTCCCACGGGTCCCCCTGCTCCGGCTCAGGCTGGGCCACAGGAGCACCGCGGCCTGGCAGCCCTGTCCTGGGGTGGGAGGAAGGGATGAGCTGCAGCAGAGGTTTCCCACCCAGGGCCGAGTGCCCGGGGGCCGAGCTCTCCCGAGCTGCAGGGGCCAGGGACACATGCACCCCCCCTCCTCCCCAAGGGCCCCCTGCACACCCTGTGCAGCACCCCAGGCCCCCTCCCCAGAGGCACCCCTAGACCGGTCCCCGCTCGCACCCCCACGGACACTGCCCAGACAGGGCCTCCGCACCCCAAAGCGTCCCCCCTGCAGGGATCCCGGGGGGGTGGGTGCCCCCGGACACCCCCCGCCCCAGGGAGACACCCCCAAGGGACCCCCCGAGGGCGATCCCTGTGTGCTCCCCAACCGACATCCCCTACCTGCGGGCCCCCCCCGCCCCCGGAACGGCGCCCTTGCAGCCGGGACCCCCGGGACCCCCCCGGGGCCGCGCTCCCACCTCGGCGCCCTCGGCGGCTCCCGGCTGCCGGGGCAGGAAGGCGCGGAGGCCACGCCTCATCCCCGCTCTGCGCGGCGATTGGCGAAGCGCGGCGGCCAGACCACGCCTCCCCGATGAGGAGATAGGGGTTCCAGCGGCGTTGCCGGCTTCCCCGAAATGACGTCAGGGGGCGGGACCGAGGGGG